GAAATATAATTAAGTAACTTTTTGCTCTTTAGTATGTTTTATATTTTTTTATTTCTTTTATATTGTGCGCTATGGTCACAAGCTATTCTAGCGGTATCTATATTAAAATGAAAATATTCAAAAATAATTGTTGTATAAAAATTATAAAAAAATATTAATTACAAGTATTAGTGAGGAAAATACTTTGTCGTATTAAGTATTTGTAACAAATATTATTCTACAACTAAATATTAAATAATATTATAAAATTAACTATTGGTAACAAACATTATTTTTGTAACGACTCTAGAATGTTTTAGTGGGGATAATTTTGTTAGAGTAGGTGAATATATTGTAACGAAAATACCTTAGTTAACAATACATTAGTAACGACAAGATAAAATTCGTTACCTTAACTTTTAGTGCCGAGCTTTAGAGGACAAGCAAAAGGTGACAAAAGCTTCGTCACAAAACGTTTTCGTAACAAAAAGATCACTTCTTGTAACGAACTTTTTCCTCGCGTAAAGTGTGTTTTTTTGTAGTGAAAGTTGCCTACACATAAATGCTCTCCATGTACGACGAGGCCTGCCAAAGAGGTCGCCGGAAAGCGACATGAAAAAAACAAGGAGAAGTGCATTATATATATATATATATATATATATATATATATATATATATATATATATATATATATATATATATATAGAGAGAGAGAGAGAGAGAGAGAGAGAGAGAGAGAGAGAGAGAGAGAGAGAGAGGCGGAGTCAAGAAGAAATGAGGGTTCTTAGTAGATTTTTACTATGTAAGTGGATGAGAATGAACGGTCATGATTTTCTCAAACAAATAGACGGTCAAAATCAAACTACCAAGTACCACCTAAACACAGACCGGGCCAAGACATTTGACCACAAGTTAAGCCGACTCAACTACGGGGCTACTCAGGAGAATAATCTGTTTGGGCCCAATTCACTTAAGAATCACAATTTCGCTCACAAACTTAACACTAGATTTACATTAGAGTTGGAACAAATTTTTTCTGGATTTAGATTTCCATAAAAAAAAATTCCTTTTTTTGCCTCTCAGTTGCAATCTCTATTTTCTCAGTCAATTCTTTTTAGGGGTTTTTTGATATAAACCCCAATAGTTAAGAAAAAAATATTGGGGTTTATACTTCTTTTAATAGGAAGAGGCCTAAGCTATTTTGCACCATTTGAGTAAAACCTACTTCTAACTTCAGCCATCCATTTTTTTTAATATGCCCCTGCCACCTCATCAGCACTATCACTGCCCATCAGCCGTTTTTTATTTATTATTATCTTTTTTTACGCTTTTAACGTTTTTTTCTCCATCGGTATATTAATCAAGTATGAAACATATTAATCGACTATGATGAAGCATAGTCGATTAAGGAACTGAGTTCTAAAAAAATACAACTACATAAAAACAAAAATCAACATTTTTTTTACAAAACAAATAACATATAAATAGTAATTGATTTATACAAATCGGATTCAATACACAAAAAATCCAAAAGTGAATTAAACAATGAAATCGAGTAACCTTAATCGATTACTAAAATACTAGATTAACACTTTAATCGACTATCAGAGCCTAGTCGATTAATTTAATCGATTAGCTAAAAACGTAGTCGATTAAGGGGTCCATCCTGCGCGAATTTCTCTACCCGCGCCGTCCTTTGTCCAATCTACCAAAAAAACCCTAGATCCGCTCTCCATCGTCACCACACCGCCGCCACATCTCACACACCATTCAAACAAAAAACCTGAAAAACAAATAAAAGAACAGAAAAAGAAAATTGATTGGCCCTTCTTCGTTTTCAAAAAAAAGCACCCACCACAACCTACACGGTGACTGAGGGGTTTTTGCACCCACCTCCGTCCAATGCCGCCGCTCAACACAACTAGCTTCCATCCAAAACTAACATAAAAATTTAATATGTTCCCATTAATTTACAGACATATATATACATATATTGATCCGAATAGTATCTATTAATCAGATGGGAGAGCCGCCACAGAATACATTCGAGTATACGAAAGCGGACTCCACCACCACCACCACCACCGTCATTCTCTTCCTCATCTCTGCCGTCGTCGTGCGTCTCCCACGAGAGTGAGGAGCTGCAATATCTGGAGAAAAAAGAGAGAATAAAAAACCCAGAGAAAATAGAAGAAAGAAACGAGAAAGGAGTGGGATAAATGAAAATTGAAATTAGAGTTTTGAAAGAGTACATTAGACAATTAATGATAGATTTGGAATTATGAAAATAGTATTTGGATGAAATATTAGCTAAAGGAGTTTTCTCTAATTATTTTTGAGATGGGGTTTTTTTTAACCACAATTCTTAAATGGAGGATCTTGCTAAGTTTCCCTTTTTTTAACCGCTTACAGAACTAATTGTTATTCCTTCATGTTTGTTGTTTATATTATGCGAAAAATAATATATTTTAATTTTCCCATGATCAACCGAGAAAAAAACGGTATTTGTAATAGTCGCCCCTATACACAAGATTGCATCATTCCATCACCGATAATAAAGTGATAATGCATTCTCCACCAACTTTTTAATCTGGGTTAGTGGGAATCAATTAATTCGGTTAAAGTAGTTTGGTTTTTAGCAAAAGCAGTGGGATCATAAGCTGACACGTTTATGCAAATTAACTAGTTTAAGTAAAGATAGTTGATTAGGATATTTGATTATCCTTTGCATGATTTGATTTTGATTCTGATCTTTAAGTAGAATTGGAAGCTTCCTCTTACAGCGTGGCACCTATGATTTAGGAGATCACATGTGAGTATTTGTATTACACCATGATTATTAGTTTCAATTTAAAAAAAAAAAAAAGAGAAAATAAATTGAAATCATATGTTGTGTATTAATTAATTGTAATTTAATAATGGAGATGGAGCAAAAGCAGCCTATGTTTGTTGTAGAATCATTCATTTTCTCCAAGAAACTTACCTGGTTTCAAATCTCAATAATAATTACAAAGATAAGAAATTGTGTATCTTGCGGTCCCATTTAATAAAAATTAAAAAAACAAATTTAAAAAAAACAAGAAAGACACCAAGTATATATTATGTTATTCTCAAGTGTCTTGTTTGGTTAAGAAGATTAGTTATGATTAATTAAATAAATGAAATGCTATTTGCGGTTCATAAAAAAACCCCCCAAAACTTTAAAAAATATCAAAAACCCCCCCAAAACTGCAAATAGCAAAAAAAAAAAAAAAATCGAAAATTCGAAATCAAGCTTGAAGAAGGGTTGGGCTTCGATTTTTTGATGTAATTTCGACCCTTTTATGTGTAATATGCATTGGGTAGGTCGATTACGGAACCAATTTCATGTTAAAAAGCCCTACAAATCGATTTGTAGGGCTTTTTCTTTTCGCAAAAAAATGTTCGAACGCCCAAGATGGGCGTTCGAACATTTAAAAAAAAAAAAAAAAAATTTTTTTGCACTGGACGCCCAACTTGGGCGTGCACTGCATGAATGGGCGCCCAAGTTGGGCTTTTACGCGTTTTGGGGGGTTTTTTTGGATTTTTTTGGGAAGTTTTGGGGTTTTAGTGAAATAAAGTGTTTTTTTGGGGGGTTTTGTTATAAACCGCGAATAGCAGTTTTCAAACCGCAAAAAGCAATTCCCTTAAATAATTGGACTTTGTTTCATATTTGATATTTCCAATAACCTGTGGGTCGAACAGCAAATATTACATTATTAATAAGTGTTCGTCTTTGGCAATTTTTACTTATCGAATCTTTGAGTTTTGGTCTTCGTTCGTCCGAGATTTCGATTTTACTTGTATATATTTTGCTTTTCTTATTTTATTTCAGTTTTAGGTAAAGAAGTTATTTTTGTCAATTTGAAAGGATTTTAGAAGTGAAGTTGTGAATCAAACCAAATACGTGCAAAAGTGCATTCTAGCAGATTGTAACAGTGTTTAGTATTTCAAGCATAAATCCGATATCCGATTGAGCTAATTCAAGTAGATATAGAAAGCCAACTTCCAGAGCTACAACTTTTGTAAGAACTTCTGAATTGCACGAAAATTCACCGACAACATATATAAAAGTGTTATCTTGTCAACTGAAAACAATAGTAAGAAATATAACGTAAACTCCCTTTTCATCGTCTATGGCGGAGACGTTAGCCTTTTTGGATAATCTCTGCTTGAAAATAAAAATAAAACAATCGTGGTGATAACGTATTATAAAAACATGAAAGAATATACAAGAAGAAAATAAAATAGGGCGAAGTGAGAATATATTATTCAATATCTTCAAGTGTATCCAAAGCACATTGCATAATCTATACATAGTACAAAGAAGGTGACTATAAGGTCATGAGTTGCAAGAAGATTAAATAGACTTAAAACCCTTTTAACGTACACACTAAATTCATGGTGACTCAACGGCCCGTTAGAGTAGCAGACATAGACCTGGTGCCCGACAAATATTTAATGGATGGATGGATGTAAATTCATGTAGGACATTTGCACCAACCTACTATTCCGGAGCCAATTGAGCTATATCCATGCGGGCAATTCCTTTTCAATTATTCTATCCAATGGAAGTGGAAATATATTAAGATTGTTATTATTTTTTAAAATTTAAAATACATAATAATTGACGTTGAGGGGACAAGTGTTACAAATAGAACTTTAAGGGGTCTATGTTGCATAGGGGCTATACTTGAGGGGTGCAAAATGTATACAACTCTTAATTTTAATTTTCTTTCAGTTTTTAGTTTATCCAGTTCTTGTGACGCAAGATGACGTCATGCACTCTTTGTTTCTAATTCTTACTCACTGAATTTACATTTACACCAAGGAGCTGGAACAAATTCTCTCTGGGTTTGGATCTCCACCAAAAAAGGTTCGATTTTTAGGCTCTCAATTGCAATTTCATCCTTCAATTTTTTTTTATTGTTTTTTTTTTTTTTTTATTTAATATGGTTTCATCCCCTCGTGCTCGATATTTGTTATTTTAATTATTCAAAATTTTGATGCTCCAGTGAGATGATTCAAGTTGAATTATCAAAAAAAAAAAAGTGTTCATTTCTTTAAAGAATATAACTCGGCATTCCTTGTAAAAAGTATTCTAGTTATCACAAGTAAACCTGATTTGCCAAGAAATTAAATAATGGAGCTTCAGATTCCAGATGATATAATAAATAAATAAATTGCTAAGAAAGAGAGATGTGTTTCAATCAGTTGGGTGCTGAAAATAATTAACATACAAAAAGGCGGCCTCCCGTTTCGACGACAGATCGAATTGCCGAACTAATGGTTATAGCTAAGTGAGTTTACCCTCTTATTTTCAAGTTCTTTTATTTAGCTTTAAATCCAATTCATATGGTAAAAAGACTAGTCGTAATGGAGTATTCGGTTCGTTAGATAATATTCTCAACCTCGGTTGGTTTGTCGGGATTGGGGGCGGAGGGGGGGGAGTAAGGCTTAGAACCGACAGACGGGTTTAATTTCGCTTGGGCACAATTGCTATAGTGAGTGATTAATGTGAAACATTTTACCGTAAAGGTTTTTTTTTTTCGTCCCCATTTATTTAGAGATGCCTACGAAGAGTAATATAATGTGCAAGGCTTTAGTAGCGCATGATTCCTTCGTCTTTGGTGTTTATATTATGCTGCCAACAATATTCTTTTTAATTGTCTTATGATCAGTTGGCAGCGTTCTACGGAAAACGTCAGCCAGTGATGCAGTTCGAATGCTATATTTTAATGATTAATACAAAAATTTTATTTCAACTTGGCAACTTGTATATGGACTCGGCAAACTGTGTTCGGGTTGTTAGAGTTTTTCTTTTTTAAAATAAATAAATGCTTTAATCTTTTTGATATATTATAAAGTTACGATTATTCAAATCCAACTTGCTCTAATTGCATGGAGTTTCTTTATGTCTTAAGAATCCGATAGTGCCATGTGCATGGATTCCTTCATTTCTTTTTTAAGACTTTTACCACAGAATCTTGGGATTCGCAAAACTAATCAAACTATACTGCACAAAGAAATAAAAATCGGTTTTTGCAGTTCAATCCTAGAATGGTTTAGTTTTTTAGTCGATAATGTTCGTGGGTTTTTTTTTCTTTTTTTTTTTCAGGTGTTAACTATGCCGATGAAGCTCGTATAGTTTGATTTTAGCACAAGTTGTTTCTGGTGTTTTCGTCAAACAATGGAAACTGCAGAAGCGAACTCTTTGTTAGGATACGGAAAATCTCCATGGGTGTTCAAAGGCAGGCAAGTTTGCTATCTCGTTTTTCGAATAATACATTTGTTTATTTAATGTAAGAAAATTATTTATGTTAAAAAAAAGAAGTACGTTCTTGAAATTTCAGTGCCTTGTACCAGCTGCATCTCGTCAAGGCAGAGACAGCTCGAGCTTTTATTCCGAAAGAATTCAAATTGGTGGAGGCATTTGGGTAAACTATTAACAACTTGTATTTTTAAATAAATATTTTTCATTATTCATTATCTTTATTTAATACAAGTTGGCTACTTTGGATCTATAGATATACACTCGGTGGATTCTTTCTTGCGAATTACGAGGACAGGCCTGCTGGCAAATTTGATGAGGTTGTTATTTATGTCTGACTAAAATCTTCGAATCGATAAATCTCAACAAACTGATATAATATAATTATATAAATGATTTATTCGTAAGTTCTTGGGATGTGCATTTATATTTAGGAAATAGGAAGAAGCATATACCGTAATGAATTAAATATAGTGTCAACTAGCATTAACTTTATTCTTCGTAATCTTGTGCTTTTTTCAGCTTGTCGTCATAGCAGGAATCTTATGGAATCCACCTACATCGTGTGCGTAAGTTTTTCTTTCCGCCGTAACTATTTACATGATCCCAAAGAGTATACAGAATCGTACTCTGTTTGATTAGTATGTGCTCAGATAAATGTCTAGATCAAATTGGTGCCGTTTAATGCAATCTCGTTGCTCGATTTTTGGTACTGGGAAACTATGCACTGATGAAGTAGATTTTAGAAGTATGTAGACTGACGTAATAGTTTTCTGGTAATAATATCATTATCCGACAGATGGGCTGCAAGAGTTCTGGTGAACAGTGACAAGGCATGCGTCCATGGTCGAAAGGTAGCGTTTTTTAATGCACGCGATTAAGTATTCATTATATATGCCGTCATTTGTAATTGAGTTTGTGCTTAGGATTTCGTTTCGATTTATGTCCTAGTTGAATTAACTTCAAGAATCTATAAATAAAAAATTTAAAGAAATAACAGCATTACTATTCTAATGCGGTTTTGCAGGATGTTGGACTTCCGAGTCAAGTTGCAAATTTTACGAAGGTGAGCTCTCAAATTTTATATGTTCCCTCCAAATGCAGAGTAATCAAATGTTAATTCCCCCCTTTTTTTTTTTTTTTTTCCTGTCACTATTGGCAGTGTGGGGTGGATTGTTATCTATAAATTTAGTTAAATTTTGTGCTGTAGAATATCTAATAAGAATCTTTTTTTTTTTTTTTTTTGTGTCGAACATGATACGGTTTGGTTTGCGTTAAACTAGAGTGTTACAGCACTTCCTGCGACAAGGAGAAATGGATTCGGTGGGTTTATGAACAAGATTGGCTTGGCTCATAATAATAATAATAGCACGAAGAATTGTACGAATATACAAGTGAAAGAGATGAACAAAGAGAAATCGATTCGGTGGGTTTATGAACAAGATTGGCTTGGCTCATAATAATAATAATAGCACGAAGAAAGAGATGAACAGTCATACGGCAACTGGCATTTGCACTATCAACCTTCCTATATATATATATATATATATATATATATATATATATATATATAGATATATATGATCAGCTCTATGTTGTTGTTTTCTTGTCTCGTCTTTGTGTTTGTTTTGCATTATACTTATGTTTAATTTAACCTCGACAAAGCACTGGCAGCACCTCAAAACGACGCAAAACGATGGATCGGCTTTGCAATCAAAATGTCCCTCCCAAGCTTTAGGTATTTTACATTTTTTTCCTATTTTTTTAATTTTTAATTTTTTTTTTCTTCGAAAAATTTAGCATTTCCAAGTTATGATGCAGAATTAACCGTATTTGCGTATCTGATATGCAGCGGCCGCACTGAATATAACCCTAACCTCCTAAAGTACTCTTGCCAGATCGAATGCAGGTTTACTTTCCTATTATTATTATTATTATTATTCGTACCGTGGTTTAATCAATTTGATCATGATCTATATTATTGGTTCGTTAAAATTTAACATTTGCATGTTCGAAATTCCACTAGTGCTTAACGCATAAACAATTAATTCCGGTCAAAATGCCCTGAAAATCCCATTTTTAAGGCACCGTGCAACAAAAAACGTAGTTCAGGTAAAACCGTGCTAAAAAAAATTGTTTGGGGGGCAAAGTGCAAAACGGGCTATAGTTTAGGGGGCAAACTGCTTTTTACTCAATACTATATATAATCATACACTGCAGGTGACAAGAAATTAAATCTCTCAGGCAGGCCACCTCCTAATTGGTCCAACTAATTATCCTACTAATTTATCCTAATATCACCAAACCAAAACATCAAACATAAAAGATGAATATGACTTTTTCCCAAAAGAATCTCCCATTTCTCTTCAATCAACGTGTCCTAATTCCCATCACTACTCAAACTGCCTAACTCCTTAGTAATTTTACCATGTTTCCCATTAAATGCTGTACAATTTTTTTGAAAGGCAATGTACTTAATTTCCACATTGTGTGTGTGTGTGTACTTCAAATTGGCGCCAAAGTCCTCTACATATTAAATATATATATATATATATATATATATATATATATATATATATATATATATATATATATATATATATATATATGTAGCCACTAGTCCTTTTCGATTTAGTTATTTATATATATGTGTAAGTACTCTGATCTCTTCTTTCGATTCATTCGGTGCACTTCGTTTTTCTTCAATGGACGTTGCGATGGTAACTTCAGGATTCGAGAAGCCCCCGTGGATTTTCAAGGGCAGGTAACCTTCTTTTTTTCCCCTAATTCGTATTCTTTTTCAATTTCTTGAATTCATGATATGATTAATGTTTGAAGCAATTGTTTTTCGATATTGCAGTGCTGTGTACCAGATTCATTCCGTTCGAGTCGACTCTGTTCGACCTTTCATCCCCAAAGAATTCAAAGTGGTCCAGAACTTTGGGTATGTATACAAATACAATAATTAAGCAGCATTGCATGGTTAGAAAAAATTAAACATTTAATAACTACAGAAAAAGTCTATTAGGCGAATCTTTTGAACTATTGGAGATATATATAAATATCAAATTATTCAATTATTCACTAATATTCGACGTGTCACATTCCGGTGGATTCCCTTAAAATCGGACCAAATAAAAGGCCATGTACTCGAATTCCATGTGTCTCCTGTTCAAAATATTCCATGTGCAAGGCTTCCAATATTTTTTTACAATTTCAATTACGATAGTTATAACTTGTCACAAATTTTTTTTTTTTGAATATGTTTTTGATATTTGATTATATATCATTCGTTCGTTATTAAGTTCATAAGAGTTTGTTTTTTGTTTTTTACAGATACACTATGGGAGGGTTTTTCCTCGCCAATTACGAGGAGAGCCCTTTTGGTGCGTTCGACGAGGTGTGTATATTTACTGCATTCGTACCATTTTTATTACGATCAATGTATATATATCCTCATAATTTATTTATCAAACCACCCTAAAAGCTGAGGGTTATGTGCTAATTAATATTAATGGTACGAAATTCTTTTTTAGTAACTCAAAATGACAAAGGGGGAGTTTTCTTTGATGGTGAGTATGATGTTGGTTGATTTTTTGATTTGCTATTAATTTTTACAGTTGGTGATAATTGCTGCTATAGTTAAGCCGGATCGATCATCTCGCGCGTAAGATTTCAATTTAGCAGCTCATGTATTTAATATATTATATATATTTTTTTAAATATCCAAAAGAAATTGTTGGTTTGTGAATAGATGGGCTGCGAAAGTTCTTGTCAACAGCGATGAAGCTCGCGACCACGGACGAAAGGTAATTAAATTAATTGGTTAAATTTACTTGGTACCTTCAATATTACTGAAGTAATAAAGATGATTGCGTACATGGTGCCGAATATACAATCTAGAAAAACATTAAAACCTAAGTTCATTCGGTTTTAATCGAGGTCGTGTGTTCGACATTGCCTTCATGACTGTTAATATCTGCCTGTGATTTATTTCGTTTTATACTCTTCTTGATTCAAATTGTTTAATAAATTCAACGTTCTAAAAATTGTTCGAGTTCAAATCATACGATTTACGATTTGATCCATGTGTCATTTTATTTTTACGATTTAACAAATATGATCATATGTATATGCACTATACTTCAATATTATTTTGTTCAATGATTATTTGTTGTTTTATTTTAGTTATGTGGTGATATAAACATAATGGTATTTTCAACATTCCTTATATTTTATTTTTTTAATTTTTTAATTTTATTTTTCTTTTTATATACCAGGTATTCGGACTTCCTAGTCAAGTTGCCAATTTTATAACGGTATGCGAGGCTATATATATTTTTGAAATTGTGTGTTGATGTATAAGTACAACGATTATACAAACTCTTACACCATAAGATTTTATAATTTATATTTATTTCTATTTTATTCCTAAAAAAAAATAAAAAAAAGAATACTTTATAATTGTAATATAATTTTAATTGTTTTATAAAGTGTTAGTATAATAGTGGCACACGGTGTATGTTGAAGCAGAAGAGTAAAGTAATATCCCCACAATCAAAAGCAGAAGGCTTGTTCAATATAAATGGCTTAGGCTTTTCTAAATTGCCTAAGAATTATAAGGACACACAAATAAGAGAAATCAAGGAACAAGGAGCAACAAATTCCTGGAATCTTAACATTAAAACTAAAGGTTGGTCAACAAATATATATATATATATTATTAATTGCATTTTTCTAAAATTAATTTGATTTTGTGTTCAATGAGAGCAGCACCCAACTTGGAGCTCAATAGGTTTAATATCAATCCTCGAATCAAGTTGTCCCTCACAAGTTTGAGGTAAACATTGTATTAATTAATTAATAGGACAAATTACGGCCAATTAAAGTAAGTTCAAATTACAAAAAAATCCCTCATGTTTGGATAATTACAACCACTCCCTTAAATATGTATTGTCTTACAAAAAAACCCTTTATTCAATAGGTAAATTTGAAACCGTAAGGATGAACGTGTAAGACAATACATAGTTGAGGAAGTGATTGTAATTATGCAAAACATGAAGGATTTTTACGTAAGTTGAGCATATCTCATGGGTGGACGTAATTTTCCCTAATTAATATTTAGCTCTAAACCATTAATTGTGGAGATAATAATACTGAGTTTAAGTGGCTATTTTTTTTTTTTTTTTTGCAGTGGTCTCACTGAATATAATCCACATCTTCTTGAATATACTTGCCAGATTGAAACCAGGTTATAAGTGAATCCTTAAATTATTTAGGGTAAATTACACCCACACTCCTCAGGTATGATGAAATAACTTTAAGGTCCCTATAGTATCGATAATTACACTTACCACCCTGAAACATAGTTATAAACTCTAATAGGATAATGCAATTATATACGTTATTCCGATAGGTTTCTAACAGACTATTAGTGTCAGGAAGTGGTAAAGACAACATCTATGGGTGATTTAAGAAATGTCGGGGGAGCCATGTCACCCCCTAACTCTATGTTATCTCCACGGCATACTAAAAATAATAGTCCGTTAGAACACTATTGGAACAACGTATCCAATGCATTATCCCATTAGAGTTTCTAACTATGTTTCAGGGGGTAAGTGTAATTACCGATACCATAGGGACCTTAAAGTTATTTCATCGTACCTAAGGGGTGTGGGTGTAATTTACCCAATTATTAATTAACGTTATTGATTATATGTGACCATATATATTATTGTAATTTATTTAATATATTATATAGAGTGAGGGTAATTGGAACATCAAAGATTTCAGAGCAATTTGCACCAAGTAATGAAGAATGTGAATTTTCGAAGCACCAAAATTCATCAGCAGATATGAAAAACCTGATGATTGAGACACTGGAAAATTCAAAACCGCTTATAGCTGTTGAATTCAACTCTATGAAAATGACAGTTGACTCTCCGACTATGGTCTCCAAATGCTAATAAATTTGTAACCCCTACATTCTTGTATATTTTATTTCGATCCAGTAATTTCGACACATGTACTATATTAAATATTAATATTGGAACATGTCAATTATACTATCTTAATTAATTTCGTTCATATATGATCTAATTTTAATTTCTAGGGGCGACAACGGTACATTCGGACACACATATGTATCCAATTTTACTCGCATATTGGTTTTGAGCTACATGCACACAAACTTATATACATTTAATATTTTGAATAGGGTTCGTCTAAGGTTAGACACGGGGCGGGGCGGGGCGGGTCACGGTCCGGGTCTGGGTCCGACTTTTAGGGGACCCAAAACCAACTCGTGGGGAGGCGGGTCTGAGTCCGGGGCGGGTCCACCCGGGTCCATCCGAGTCCGAGTCGGGTCCGGGTCCAACCGGTTTTCCAATTTTTTTTTTGTTTTTTCCCCAAATAATTTCAAGAAAGAAAAAAAAAATCAAACTTGCAAAACCTTTGAGATTAACTTTTAATTCAAAATTTAAAAAAAAAATTGAATTTAAACACTAAATAATCTATATATAATATAAAAAGAGGATCTATGCCCTCAATGATTGACATGTGGCAAATGATGATGTCATTTGTTAAAATTGCTTAGTTGGAGTTCAATTGATGAGGTGGATTCTTCAATTGATTATGTGGCATTTTTATTTAGGTATGTTTTTAAGTTCTTTCCTATTTTACATTTACACAATCATTTAATAATTACCACATGTATATATATTATTTCCAAAGTTAATATTTTATAAATTCGAAATAAAAAAATCTTATTTATATTTTTAGTATTTCAAAATATATTTATTGAAAAAATTCATGAAACTCAAGTTTTTTACGAATATTCAAATAATTTTTATAAAAAAAATATTTTTTTAAATACTAAAATATTAAAATAAAGGAATATGTTGTTGTTGTTGTTATTTTTTTTAACTTTCAATATTTTGGAATATTCAATTCCATTCCATTAAAAATAATAATAAAAAAATGTTTTATTTTTTAATTGAACTATTTAATAAATATACAATATTTTTTGTATGTAATTTTTATTATACTATATTTCAAATTAAAAATAATTATACTATTTAATAAATATGCAATATTTTGAAATTTAAAATTTTAACAATTTAAATGCAGTATATTTTAACAATTTAAATGCAATATATTTTAACAATCTAAATGTAGTAGGTTTGTCAGTATATTTCGAATACACTATTTAATATATAATATGTTTCGAATTATACACTAGATTATGCATTATATGTGTCAATTACTATTTCAAATTATCATGTATTACATATTTAAAATATCAAATCACCAATACAAAGGAGTCTTTAATACTCCAAGATTCCTTCATATCATCTTTGATTGATTTAATTTACACTTTAATTCAAAATTCAATGGTAAAAAATAAAAATCGTATCTTCATATTTAATGTTTTTATATTGCAAGATTTTTTTCCACAAGTTATTATTTTATTTTTTTGGTTGTTTCCTTTATTTGTTTGATTTGATTTCATTTACTAATATATAAATCTTTTGAATTTTTTATTTTTCCATAGAATTAAGTTCATCTATATATAATATAAAAAGATGATGTATGCCCTATATGAATGACATGTGGCCAATGTCTATGTCATTTATCAAAATTGGTTAGTTAGAGTTCAATTGATGAGGTGGATTCTTCAATTGATTAGTTGGCATTTTTATTTAGGTATGTTTTTAAGTCCTTTCTTATTTCACATTTGCACAATCATTTAATAATTATCACATATATATTATATATCATGCATTCAATATTCTATAAATTTGATTTTTTTTATTTCAATTTTTTGAAATATATTTTCGAATTTAGTATTTTTTTTATAATAAAATATTCGAATCTTTTAAATCTCACGTTTAAAATAAATTTAAAACACTCAAGTTTTTATAATAATATATTTTTGAATTAACCTTTCTTCTATAATAATATAAAAAATTAAAACAATATAATAATATAGTTTTATAATTTTACATTAATTTATTTTATTAATGCATTATCATATTAATGGAATAATACTATTTAAATTAATGGAATGAAATGTAGTGTCAAGTTTTCGTTTTTAGATACTTATTCTTATGAAATTATAAAGGTAATAAATTATGAATACATTGTTAATCAATAATTTATATATTTTACATTTATAGAATTAAATTGATTTATTTTAATTATGTCCATGTATGGTAAATAATTAAATATATCAATTTAAAATAAAATAATTTTGACCATATCAATCTATACATATTAATATATATATACATGTTCGATTTATGTCATAAATATTTTCGGTTTTGTACTCAGATTTTTTGATTAATAATGCAATAACTTCTATTTTATAATCCGTAATATGTGCACATTGATTCTTAGTATTCATTATTAATCGGCTCTAATTATTTCAAGTAAATCAAAATCTTTTTTTCCCTTTTTTTAGAATATCAATCACTTGTCAAATATATTACACTATTTGTATAAAATTATTATATTACATCTATATTTACCTAACGAGTATTCACAAGTATAAATATACCCAACTTCCTCCCCATTTTTCTATCCATCCATCATTGGCCATTTTTTCGATTAGGATTTACATATTTTTCCAAAAAGAAGTTCTTCATTAGTTTTGGTCTATTTTTCATTTTTTATATGTTATTAATGTTTAAATGTCTTTTAATTCATTGTTTTCACATAATAATCTGAATCTATTTATTTACGTATATATTATTTTATATCTCATTTTAATTTTAGATTGATTTGGTTTTTGTAGATATATGAACAACACTCACAAGTGGCAGCATTGCGACATTGTATATCGTGCGAGAATCTACATGCTACGACATTTTCGTAAATATTTATTTTCATCGTGGTTATTGTTAAGGGTGAAGATCCTCGAGAATATCATGTGAGTTTTGATGTTTTAACTGATCAAAATGTTTTGTTTAAAGTTTTCATAAAGGATGCTAATCTTGAAAATTACGTATAATGTTATCCTATGATGATACTACTACGTACTTATTCTTTCACCAAATTTTATCAGTTGAATGAGATATTAAAATTAATATTTTTTGAATTAATTATCTTTTTATGTTTTGATAACAAATATTTAAAGTTTATTCGTTCTAATATCTAAATGTAGCAAGGAAATAATGGTTGGCCATGGTATGTCTTTTCTCATAACATTAAAGGTTTGTTTATTCTTAATTAATTAGTATTTCATTGTTTATATATATATATATATATATATATATATATATATATATATATATATATATATATATATATATATATATCTCGATTGTTCTCTAGCTTAAGTTACTCCTTTGAAGAGATTCGATGAGTGGAATTAGGATTCCCAGGAAGATGATGTCCCAATTTAGCATTTAAAGCAATTGAAAAAGACAACGCAAGAAAAATTGGATTAGTAGTTGCTTTAATACTTTCATTTTAATTTGTTCTTAATCTAGTTTTGGTGTTTTATTGAATATACAATTTTGTTTACCAACATATATGTAAAAAATATTTTCTATTTGATTTGTACATCGTTATTTATTCTGTACGTACTTTTTATTTTTCTTATCAGTTTTGTCATATAAACCATAAAGAAACATAATTCAGGCTTGTGTCAGTTCATTAAAAGACATACATATTTATATATTCTTATATTCGTTGGTAATTTTTGAATTTTTACATTAATATTATATCTAACAATGTATTAAGTTTATGACGTATATAAAGGCACTTTATTTTAAATTCCACATTATTTGTTATGAATTATATACATATATCATAATAAATTACGTGAAATTTGTTTCACGTACGTATTGGTAATTTTCGAATGAAAAAATTTGCATTGTGTTTTAAAAATTTATGGACTTTTGAAACTTATTGGTTTAATTATTCGATAGTTAATTTGTTATAATATTGCATGATTTTGGGGATACAGTTAAAATGGAAACGAATTAATGTATGATTGATTAATCCTTGAACTACATAATTTGATGTATATGAATTTTTGATTTACCATATTGATTATATTTACCCTAAATGTACAATTTAATTGGCAAGTGTAATCAATATTTAAAATAATAAAAACATTCAATTTTAATTGATTAAAGTCCCATAAAGCCAAATTTTGTATAATTTGTCTTTTTCTAGAAATTCGTACATTATATTTATAAATGAAAATACATTTTATTTTAGTTAAAATAAGTATATTAAGTGATCACATATTAAATTACTTCGAAAATCTACCTTTCTCAAATAAAATATCCAAGTAACAATATTTATTAGTTAAAAATCAGGTATTAAAGTTCTCAACAGAGTTGATAAATAAAATAAAAACCTGGACAACAAATATATTTATATGTACAAACGATCACAAGTATTTTATATCAAATTACGTGTACAAAGAATTCACTCTAATGGATAATTTAAGGCGGTTCTTATGAGAGAGTATACAGACTATTTTATAAAATGAAATAATGAAATAATAAAAATATGTATATGTTGTATTTAAAAAAAATATAATTTATTGAATGCATATTCCGAAAGTTTATAGTTACGAAAATTAAAAAAAATATGTTTTTATTATTAAAAATTAGTCGATTATTACAATGAAAAAAATCCTGAAATTTATTTGAGTATTCATAGAAAATGGACATTCAAACAAATATATTTCGAAATTTAAAAGTTTAAATAAGATAAATATTTTTTCGACTTTAAAAGTTTAAATAAGATAAATATTTTTTCGAATTTATATATAGATTAAATGCATTAACGAATATATGCGTATGTGGTAATGTTTAGATGATTGTGCAAATATTAAATAGGAAATAACTTAAACAATACCAAATTTGAAAAGCCAACTAATCAATTTGAGATGCCACATAATCAATTGAATTCCAACTAAGCAATTTGGATGTATCATCAACATTTGCCACATGTCAATCATTAAGGGCATAGATCCTCTTTTAATATAATACATAGATGTTTAAACACGTAAATAATTTATAATAGACTACACCATTACTATTACTATTACCATTACTATTACATTA